TGTTCCAGTTTGGGCATCTGCTGACCGATAGTGTGAATATACACTAAACGCCAAAAGAAACGTTACCCTGCTTCCTTAATGGCGGAGGTACCTATCTTCAGCTGGCGTTGTGATGTCCACTTCTTGGTCTATCTACGGTGACCCCAGTCTGTCTGAAGCCCTGATGAAGTCTGATAACTGTGATACGGTGGCATCCGAGGGCGTTGGCAACAACATTGTATGTGGACCCAATCTGCAACATCCCAATGGCTCTTTCTCTCTCTTCAACTGTTAATCGTGGCATATTTCTCGTACTTGCGCATCATATCATGTATTCTAGGCTCTCTTCATACCCTGTAGAATCAGTCTACATGTGAAATGGACGCAAATACTGCTTTAATATTGCTGCGTTTTGGCGATTGGTATTTCTATGTTTAAACAAAAAATGATACTGTGCATTTCACCTAAATATGAAAGCATTTTAGATTTTTCTTCGTGATTTACATAAAGCTGTGTTTTTCAGCTTTCTTGTAAACTAATACCTTCTAAGATATCTGTGATAGTTTTTAAGTAATTCATAAAGGTAGGAGGGTAACGTTTCTTTTGGCCTCTAGTGTACTCTAAATAAAAGCTGTTCAGAAAATTGTTTACGTTGTGACAACTGTTCATATCTCAGTACATACTTCCATTTGGCTATGCTTTCAATAATTGATGTCCTATTTTGGTTTGCAATTGCATCAGAGATGTGTTTTTTAAGTTGTGAGAAGGGGATGTGCTTGAAGGCCGGTGGTGGTGAGATGTGTTTATACAAGATATACATATACATATATAACATAACTTATAGTCTGCTTGCAATGAAAACGTACCGATGAATTTCACTTTAAACAAGAAAGTAAATCATAAAAATCATATTTTTACCTTGCAAACTGAACATATAAATATCAGAATTTTATTAAACTTAGGATAAAAGTTGTTTAACAAACGATCATAGATTCAAATCGCTATTATTGGTTTGTATTACAAGGGGGTAAGTGCAGTAGTTGGAACACTGAAACAAATGCACGTGTGGTACGTGATGAGCGTTAACTTAGACCAACCCTACTTGTTCTCGGTGTTACATTTAATGTGCACACACCCTTGTAATACATGTGTATTCTCACACGGGTATCAAGATAAAAGTTACTACAACCAGGTGCATAGAAGTATATATGCATAATGACAAGCAGAAGATTAACAACAACGTGTAATTTAATTAGCAAGTTGCGCACGGCTGGATGGGGCCAGCTGGAGAGTAAGATTACATATTGTAAAGAGGCTGATTGGATGCTGACTGAATAGCTGACTGACAGATTCTATCTGTTCATCAACTTGAATATGACAAAGTCGATATCCACTCCATCGTCCAAGTGATAGAATCAACCACCAATCAGCTTGTTTATCCTGAACGATGAACGTCGCTCTATGCAATAAACAGGGAGTTGTTATCACATAAGTGGTATGTTTCGTTATGTATCCCCACACTGTTTACTGCAGTATAAGTGAGATATGCTTCAGTTTGCGAATGACCAATCTTTTGAAGTTGAGTTAAGTTCTACTTTAATAAACGGCTATCTAACAAGTAGATATGAATCGAAGTGTTTGAAAAGAATTTTAAAGCGTTTGTTCCTGAAAGAAACAGAGCGCCTAAACCACCCTCGTCAGTTTGTCTACAGGGCTGGTCGAGGACGCTACCGTCACTTTATTAAACGTTAAACAATATTTATAAACATTTAGAACTTTCCTATTCCTATGTACGAATCCTGTTTGCTGACGTCAGCATTTAATACCATTCAGCCTCATATTTTAATGCAAAAGCTCTGTAATATGTCAGTCAACCCATGTGTTTTAAAATGGATAGAACCTTTCCTTGTAAACAGACCCCATTTTGCAACTGTTAATAACACCCAATCAGCAACAACATTCATATCCGCTGGTGCACCGCACGGTTGTGATATTTTCCCGGTTTTATTTACCCTATATACAAATGACTGTTTTTTATTCATTTTACATACACATGACTGTGTCAATAGGTTTTCACAAAGTTTACTTTTAAGTTTGCAGGTGACGCCGCACTTCCTGGATTTATAACTATCGCTCTGAAATAAGAAAAAAATGGGGTTGGTGTAAAATCAACTTCCTTAAATGGAAATGTTAAGAAAACAAAAGAGATGGTTGTTGATTTTCGGAAAAGTAAATGTGAGCTGTTGCCAATTGCCATTGATAACGAAACCATAGATGGAAGTAGAGGAATATATGTATCTTGGCACAGTGATAGATTCTCAGCTCATCTGCAACAGTAACACTGATTACATATACAAGAAAGGACTAAATTTAGATTTAATAAATACTTCTTTTAAAATAATATAAGTGCACATGCTATTCTTAGCGGCGATGAATCTTTGTCCCAGTATGAAAACGAACTGATAATAAAATTGGTTTATAATTTCTTAAATGACACCAACCGGTTTCCATAAAGTGTGGTACCATATGCTGTAATTTGTTTGAAATTATTGAAGTTTTTATTTCCACAAATAACTCTTTCTTTAAAAGATTATGTTTAGGAGAGACATTTCCATAGGCTGATGCAGCCTGTTTGCTGATCCTTTTTCAGTTTGTAATTTATTAATGTTTTATGTATGCATATTACATGTCTTTGGGGAAATAAAATACTGTTTAAATCAAAGGACTACAGCAGTTATACCTTTACGTCGTCTTCCCAAATGGGACTGATATGGACGTTATGATGAATACAAGCAGTGATGCAGATATAGCAAGGACCTGTGAGTACCTTGAGAATACTCACGCCGACATATTAACTCCATCAGTGGCTGCTTCGTCCGACGGCAATGTTCACCTCAGGCTAAATATCACCCTCAATATGCACTTCAAGTAAAAAAATATGAAAGATATCCGCCCGTAACCCCTGTATATGTTTTAATTATCCTGTGCCAAAGAATATTGGCTTATGTTGTTTTTTTTTACATGAATAGTCTATACCTTCGCCTAAACCTAAACCTAAAACGCTAAACCCTAACCCCTCGAAATAATCCTAATTAATAGAATACATTTCAAGCGGGGGTTACGGGCGGAACTCTTACCAAAAACGAAACCGACGAAAATGTAAATTATCCCGAATAAAAATTTACTACAATTTACTTCTCGTCTGTTTTTTTTAGTTTTAGACATTTTATTCCTGCACCCCTGTTACAAAACATTGACCTTCATGCCCGGGATATGAAGGTCATTGACATAGAGGAAATCTGTTGGCATAATATTTGATGTAATCAGTACTTTACAGTTTACTTTGATGGGATTTTAATATAAGTCTCTCTCACACACACACACACACACACACACACACACACACACACACACACACACACACACACACACACACACACACACACACACACACACACACACACACACACACACACACACACACACACACAACACCTCTTTATTATCTGAGGTAAACGTCAGATTAAATTTTTTGGTCTTAGGCATGAAAAATATACAAAAGAATAGGACACATTACTATTGCTGCTCTTCTGAAATATATAAAATATGATACAACATCCAAGACTGATGAAATTTATTGTAAGTAGTTCCGGTCCGGGATTTTGCTCATTTAGCTGTCAGTTAAACCCCGATCTGAAACGAAGGAGCCATGGTTTAAAGCCTGTTTATATATTGTATTGCCTACAGTTTTATATTTACATGCTCGTTTCATATCTGAATCTGTTATATTCGGGCTGTTTTTGCTTTCTTTTGTCATGTTATTTTGTATGTCATTTATATATCTCCAGCTTATGTCATGTTATTTTGTATGTCATTTATATATCTCCAGCTTATGTCATGAATGTATAACGTGTTTTAGTCAACTTTTAGCTGAAATACAGTCGATGCGACGCAACCATTTATGTCACTCACACTCGTTTAATACAATTGTGTGGCGTTGCGTGGTCCTGTGCGTAGAGCTCAGGTCACAATCAGTTGAAGTTAAGCAACGTTGGTCGCGGACAGTCCTCGGATGGGTGTTCGGTAGCTTCAGTTTCTAGGACTTGAGTCCTGCCCCACAACGAAGCACATGTGACGCATGTGGTCTCACCTTAGGCAAGTGAGTTTGTTCAAAATTACCTCTGTCCACCCAGCAGTAAAATTGGGTACCCGGTATGGTAGTCTGAATTTGAACCTTGAGCGCCTGACAGGCGACCGGTTGTATTCTCCACATGGAGTGTTCTGTACTCGTTGACCAGGGGTAATATGTCAGCGCTTTGAGCATGCTATTATTATTATAAACGCGCAATATAAATGGACTATTATTATTATTATTAACACATTTTTTTTGTCCTGACGAAACGCCTACTAGGCGACTAATCACGGGACTAGTACACTAATTCCGGGGTTAGATCGATGATCAGGATGTCACCTATAGCCAGCCCAGTGTGTACCACATTGCATTCACACCCGTCGTCAACAATTATTTTCACTGGAAATGAACATCTCCACCTTTTCCAGGATAATCAATTTTGCCGCGGAAGCTGCGCTATTATTAAATTCTCAGCTGAAGAGTTCTGGCAATCACTGTGCTGCTACATCAGCTGATGCTGTGTTGTCAATGAAGCTGCCAGAGCGGACGCGTCTACATGAATAGGGTGAGATGAAACGTGTGTCACATGTACAGTTATACTGAACATAATTTATCAAGAACTGCATGCGACGTTTTACAAATCAACTTCACTTTCGTGGAAGAAGGAAAGAGCTGGACAGCATATGAATGAGCAGAGCGAAGAAAATATGATATTTGTTATTAGGAAGGTGTGGAATTATACAACATGAGATTGTTCCTGTTTCTTTGGGGTTTTGCGTCAGTGTGTGCTGGAGTTCACTCTGCTGTGTTTCAAGCCAAAATTTGCTCCATCGTCGTGAACAACACTTTCCTGCCTTACGACATCAGACGGGCTGGCCCGGCTATAGATATGGCGCTGGAGCATGTGCGAGAAATCTACGACGGCGTCATCGACTTTTCATTCGTCTTCCGTGACGGCAGCAGCGTCTGTGGCCCTGCCGTCGTCGGCGTAGAGGCAGCTGACGTCTACCACAACGACGCGCCGACTGTGTTCATTGGCCCAGGTAGGTAGATTACGCAAAATTGTGTATTGTGTGATTGTTGTGTTGCGAAGAGATGAACAATAACTGATGCCGCAGTAAACAATTTTCACTCACTCACTCACCAGCTATTTAAGGACGTAATGTAAACAGTTGAAACCAGACAATTCAGTGATTAACATCTCGAGCCTTGTGTAGGTTGGTTGGTTGGTTGGTTGGTTGGCTGGCTGGTTGGATGGTTGGATGGTTGGTTGGTTGGTTGGTTGTTGGTTGGTTGGTTGGTTGGTTGGTTGGTTGGTTGGTTGGTTGGTTGGTTGGATGGATGGTTGGATGGTTGGATGGTTGGTTGGTTGGATGGTTGGTTGGCTGGTTGGTTGGTTGGTTGGTTGTCTAACGACGCACTCTGCAATATTCCAGCTGTACAGCGGCGGTCTGTAAATAATCGAGTTTGGACCAGACAATCCAGTGATCAACAGCATGAGCATAGGTTTTACACCTCTAATCAGAAGGCAGGAAACCTCACGCGGCCTGTCCTCTTCCACATTTATTTAAACGCGGTAGAATGTGGAGTTGCCTAGTGGTTAAAGCGTTCGCTGAAGACCCGGGTTCGATTCCCCACATGGGTACAATGTGTTAAGCCCATGACTGGTGTCCCCCACCGTGATATTGCTGGAATATTGCTAAAAGCGGCATAGAATTAAACTCACTCACTCACCAACTCATTCGTCACCATGTGTGTTTCTCCTTAATCAAAATCGAATTCGTCAGTCTTTACAGACTAAATACATCGAGGAGTGAGTGAGTTAAAATTTTACATCGCTTAGGCAGTATTACAGTCATGTAGCGATGACAACAAGCTAATAGTTTTAAAATATCTGTCGACCAACCTAATGAAAATCAAGACAGGAAGACGAGTTAATCGATTCATTCTTACCAATTTATACCCGGCTATAAACCTCTTACAAACAAAGTTTGACCAGCCCACTGGGGATCAAGGGGACTTACAGGGCTTCCTATATGATTTCCGGAAGGGATTACGTCATCCCTTGGCTAATAAGAAGCTGTATGTTATGCTAGCCAATATTTAAAAGACTTAAAATCTCAAACACTAGACAATAGTATATATACACAAAGAACTTAGTTAAGCACCCTCTTACATTCTCACGATTGAATGAGCCCCGGTCTTAACCCTTTGGAGCATATCTGTGACATGATTGGTCGTCGTGTGCAATAAAGGGATCCTCCTGTACAGAACCTGGCCCGATTGGAAGTTGCTCTACACGAGGAATGGCGTAGACTGCCCTTTCAGGGGACCAGCAGGCTGTGAAGGGGTACGAGGAGGAGGGTGCTGGCTGTCACACAGTCACACGAAGGTTGTTTACCTTGAATCGTGTAAGACAGCTTGTTCACGTTCCAATACATTCAGCGTTAAACATTCCACAGACATGATTTTGCATGAAAATCAGTGTTTTTTTATAAAATTAAAAATAGCAATTATCATCATAAAATGAACACGGATTCCAATCATTTTGTCTGTTTTTTATGAGTCAAAGGATAATACGGACCAGAAAAGCTCATGTTTATCCATCGTGGTCTTCTCAAGAAGTTTTATATACGTGTTGAAAACCTATTAGTGCAAAAATATAGGGTTGCTTAATTAAGTTCTTTGTGTATATTTTGATCACTGAAAGGACAATATTTTTATACTACTTGTAATTACCCATCGGGACTCAGTGTCATTCATTAGTATATAATACATCTTCACCCTCGTATCCTCTCGTTGTGTGGTGTATTGTTGCCTCTTTGTATCCGTGGATGATGAATCTAAGAAGGAGGAAGTCTTTTGTATTTGTTATACATAGAGTTGACATGTCTTAATCCATCCCAGTCCGTTAGGCGATTATAACTGTAACACAATACGCTGTTGACTCTGGGGTAATGATGTTACCTAGTTCAGTCGCAACAGCTCGTTGATGTAGAAAGTCAGTTTATCGAGATGGTTCAGTAACCTCTCGTGGTGTGATGGATGACTGGGGTTTAACGCAGATTTGGTTTTGTCTGAAATATCTCTATGTGTTAGCTTGTTACTGAGGAAAGACGAGTGTCATGCAGGTGAACACTGTTACTGATTAGAGAAATAGTTCGACTTAGCCCGGGTTCGATATATACAATTCCAATAATAACGTGGCACTTCTATCAATGTAATTGAAAACACAAACCATGCCTATCCCTTTGCAGCATTCAAATTAACAAAGACATCAAACAATTCAGTTTTTAATCAGCACTGAGAATACATGTTAACAATAACACAATACATCTTAACAATAACATAATACATGTTCGTGAGTGAGTTTAGTTTTACGCCGCTTTTAGCAAAATTCCAGGAATATCACACAAGAAATGGGCTTCACACATGTACCCTTGTGGGGATTCGAACCCGAGTCTTCGGCGTGATGAGCTAACGCTTTAACCACTAGGCTAAGCTAGAATATTGCTAAAGAGCGGCGTGAAACTAACCTCACAGCATGGGACGCTAGAAATGGACATTAAACACTGTAATGATGTAAAGAATCGAACCAAGGCCCGATTTAACCAGTTTGCTACCCCACAGCTCCTGTTCAAAGAAGTCTAAGGTATAGCCATTGATTAGAGATCAATCTATACGTCTAAAGGGCAGGGACCCTAACAAATGAAGATGTTCGTGAAGGAGATGTTTGTCTAGCTAGTCATAGATCCGAGAATTCTGTGGCCTTATTTTGATCTGGGGATTAAGCGACTATTGTTAATTAATAAGGTTGTGGATGGTATCGATGTTCAGTTTGATCGTGTTTGTGATGGTTCGACAAGGGCATGTATGGTGGTTGGTTTGGTGTTTTACGCCGCATTAATATTCCAGCTATATTGCGGTGGTCTGTAAATAATCAAGTCTTGAGCAGACAATCCGGTGATCAACATCATGAGCATCGATCTCGCAGGTTGGATACGATGACAATTGTCAACCAAGTCAGCGAGCCTGACCACCCGATCCCGTTAGTCGCCTCTTACGACAGGCATGGGTTACTGAAGACCAATTCTAACCCGGATGTTCACGGGTGACAAGGGGAGGGATCATATTTCAGTTATGGTTTGAGTTTGAGTGAGAGTGAGTGAGTGAGTGAATGAGTGTGTGAGTGAGTGAGTTTCAGTCATATTATGACTAAAACACGCTATACATCCTTGATACATAAAGCTAGATTATAAAAACCTGTCGACAATGACTGTAAAAACAACTAGAATATTATCGACATAGATGTAAAACTAAATTAATATTTCATTCAGTGTAATGTACAGAAGTCCGCAACTGATCTCTATACTAGGGACCATGGGGACTTCTGCCATTTGCATGGGCTGACTTACACCATCCCTTCAGCCGTTGACGAGTGTACTCAAATTACTCATCACTTAATATAACAAATCTGGTAGGTCTGAATTTAACTTTAATGTATTTGGACTTACGTAGCCTCTCAGGAGGACAACATTTTTACAATACTTTAACACACTTTCAGGATACGTCCATTAACAATAACTGCTAATTACCCGGGTTTGTATCTTTCATTGCTATAGGATAGAGTACCCTGTGATCGAAGTCATGATTCAGAACGCCACTGATGCATGTCAAAGTATGAACTGCTTAACCAATACAGGTCGATACTGACAAATTAAACTGTTCAGCATATGTACAAAAATAACAAACTTCTGATGTGGGTGTTTCGGACAAAATACAACCTGTTTGCTGTCCCACGAGACGTGATATATTCAATAAATACACAACGGCTTTTAGAAAGTTATAAAACGTGTGTAAATGTGTTATAAATGTAAGATATATTGTATCAATCAATGTTTTTGAAGGGATATTTGCTACATGTTCGGCAAACAAACAGGCTGTAAGTTGGGTTGATCGAAGGATATAGTGCCATCGGGTGTGTTTCAATTATATTTACCACAGGTTTTGGTCCTAGGGGTACCGCAATCCATATATGTTCAGTACAAATGTACGAATAAGCGTTAATCAAGCACCATCCACGTGCTATATATACTGGACAAAAATATGTAAATTTTGAAATTATGAATAATGATATATATATTTATTGACACACTGATAAACTATCAATCATAAAAATACCAATATCCCTAACTTGTTTTGTCCAGTATATGTATGGAGACACTAATTGTGAATGTGTTGTTTTTGAAAAACAAATTCCATCGGTTAAATGGTAACTGTAGCACATTTTGTACAATGCCCTTGGCAATGTACTTGCAATCTGTATGGAATACGGAAAAAAACGTGAACATCAACAATGTCGGAAGGGATGGTCAGTAGACTGACTAACTGAGTTTGGTTTTGAGCAATTTTTAGCAATATTCCAGCAACATCACGGCGGGGGACACCAGAAATGGGCTTCACACATTGTACCCATGTGGGGATTCGAACCCGGGTCTTCCGCGTGACGAGCCAACGCTTAACCACTAGGCTAACCCACCGGCCCTGGTCAGTAGGACTACGTCACGAATCTGACTGTCACACATTTCTGATATAAAGATTGTTGAATTGCATTGACTGAAGGAATCAACACCGGGCTCGTCACGTCGAAAACCCTGGTTCGATTCCCCACATGGGTACAATGTTTGAAGCCCATTTGTGGTGTCCCCCCGCCTTGATATTGCTGGAATATTGCTAAGGGGTCTTCCCATTGTTTCAATAGAAGGAGTCACTGGGGCGTGATAACCCCTTTAATCCCCAATTTTGTTCCCTGTGAAACATTATCCGTGACGAAATGTGATAATATATCAGCTATTTTTTAATCAATGTTTATCTTTATTTTTTACTTAGAATTAAAAGAACCGTTATGAGTTTGGTGTCGTTTTCTCAATGACGCTTTGATTAAAGAGGCCACCCACTCACTCACTCACTCACTCACTCACTCACTCCAGCGTGAGAAAAGAGCCGTTATGAAGCTGACGTCGTTTTCTCAATGGCGCTTTGATTAAAGAGGCCACTCACTCACTCACTCACTAATTACTCACTCACTCACTCACTCACTCACTCACTCACTCACTCACTCACTCACTCACTCACTCACTCACTCACTCACTCACTCACTCACTCACTCACTCACTCACTCACTCACTCACTCATTGTTTCACAGGATGCAGTCTGGCTGTGGAACCTCTGAGCTACATGGCAGCCAAGTGGAATATCCCCGTCATCACCCCCGCGGGCTCCGCAGGAATCCTGGCAGACAAAACCCTGTTCAAGACCCTCACCAGACTTTCATTCGGCATGCAGGAATACGCGGAGATGTACCTGTACGTGCTCAACATGTACGGCTGGAAGCACGTGGCTCTCGTCTACGACAAGGACGACGTCTTCTCCGGCATCATTGGCGCAACCTTCTACAACATCTTCAGATCGACTGACCTTGCGCTTGCTCATCATCCCGTTAGGTCAAGGTCGTTTGGTGATGAGGAGTATCGGGAAGTTTTACGGAAAGCGAACCAGGAAGCTAGAGGTATGTGTATATGTGGGTACGTCTCCCCCACAGTGAATTACAGGAAACTACGTTTGTAACGAACATGCATATGACGAACTTACGTGTATCACGAACCAGGAAGCTAGAGGTATGTATATGTGGGTACGTCTCCCCCACAGTGAATTAAAGGGAACTACGGTTGTAACGAACATGCATATGACGAACTCACGTGTATCACGAACCAGGAAGCTAGAGGTATGTGTATATGTGGGTACGTCTCCCCCACAGTGAATTAAAGGAAACTACGTTTGTAACGAACATGCATATGACGAACTGACGTGAATCACGAACCATTAAGGTAGAGGTATGTGTGTATGTGTACTTCTTGATAATGTTATTGCCTTTCTACAGCAAAGTCAGCACAGTTAAGCCAAATAGAATACAACCAATTATATGATAGATCAATGTGTCCGTATTTGTTTTTTGTTGTTGTTTTTCTTGTTTGGTTTTTGTATTTGCGCCCATTTGCAGGGACGAATAGAAACCCAGGGTCCCTGTCCACAAAACGTTCTTAACTTTACGACCTATCGTAACTCTATAGTGTACGAACGTAGCGCTACGAACGCTTTGCTGATCGGGACCTTGGTATCCGATTGGTGCATTATGAATCGAAAAAGGTCAGTTAAACTTTATTATACTGACTCACTAACGCAAATATTTTAGCCACACAACTTAGAAACACACGGGGATGTGGATACCACCATTTGAAATTGACAAATCTTTAAATAAGTCTGGATTAGTAAGCTTTTGCGCCGCTTTCAGCAAAATTCCAACAACATCACGGCGACACGAGAAATGAGATTCACATGTTGTTATCATGTTGTGAATCGAACTCAGGTCTTCGAGCTAGCGCTTTAACCAATGAGCTACCCCACGGCCCTGCAGGGTTAGTGTGGTCATCTAAATATCATCATTAGGTGTTTTGTACACGGCCCTCATTTGAACTTGCGTGTTTACAGTGTTCATAGTCTTGGCAGCCCCCGACACCACCCGGAAGCTGCTCCTTCACGCGCATGCGCTGGGATACACGACTGGACAGCATGTTTTCCTGTCAACTATTCCTGTCGACAAGAAGTTGGATATTTGGCAGAGGAATGATGAACACGATGAGGTATATTGACAAATATGCCAATGTCAGATAAGTATTTTATTACAGCGAGAGTCAGAAGATACTTACAGAAATTATTAATTGTTTTTTGAAAATAGCAATGCATACCGTCAGAGATACTTAATCAATACGAAATCGATTACCCACAATAACAAAGTATAGATGTTGTCACTGATAAATGAGTGCTCATGGTATTAGCCAGTAGATTTCTGTTACGAAACTGGAGTATTGTTGATCTTGTAAACGCTAATTTGCCCAGTATTAAAAACGGATCCGTGAAGATCCGGGTTTTCCGGGTTAGAACTGGTTAGAACCAATGCTTTTCGTAAGAGGCGACTAACGGAATCGGGTGGTCAGGCTCTCTGACTGACTGACTGAGTTTGGTTTTACGCCGCTTTTAGCAATATTCCAGCAACATCGCGGCGGGGGACACCAGAAATGGGCTTCACACGTTGTACCCATGTGGGGATTCGAACCCGGGTCTTCGGCGTGACGAGCCAACGCTTTAACCATTAGGCTACCCCACCGCCCCAGTCAGGCTCTCTGACCGTTTTGGCACTTGTCATGGTATAACTCGACAATTGCATGGTGTGGCGTAGCAACAACCAATCAACAGACATTACTCCGAATAACCCAACTCCGAGGCCCCTGAGGTTAACAGTCAAATGACCTATCCCACCGGGTACCCATTTTCTTCTGAATGAGCAGAGGCAAATTGGAATAAACGCGCTTGCCTAAGGCGAGACCACATGTGTTTTGATGAGATATTTAGGACAGCTTGAAAGCAATGTCTGGTATGTTCACATATGATGTCCACAGATCGTTAAAGGGGCTTGTCAATCCACTGTATTCATCGCCCTGAGTGAGAGCTTCGACCTGGACTACGTCACATTCAAGAGGAACATCGTGAACAGAGCTTTGAGAGACTACAACCTGGACTTCGGGAAAACCGAGGTGAGTACATCGAGTAAGAATGGATTTATGCCGACTTTAGCAGCTGATTCAATAACATTTTTTAGCTGATCAATATTTCTTCACCAAACTTGCCACGTAGATAGGTCTTGTGATGAACTGGTGCATTTTGGTAGTTTTGGATTTCTGAATCAAATATTTGTTTCCCCGTTTCCAACAAGCTTGACGTTTTGGTGCTCTTTTCCGGAGCAGAACTTTAAAAGCGTTCGATATTTCTTCGCCAAACTTGGCACATATCTAGTTCTCATGGATTTCTGAGTAAAATGTTTTTTGTCTTTCCAAGTTTTACTTTGTCTGAGATTTGTGGTAGTGCTTGTTTCCGGAGCAGAACGTTAACACTTTTCCCTGCTCTCTTTCCACTTTGTGGGATCCAAGAACCTGATGACATAAATCAACACTCTATCAACATTAGCAACATTACTGAGGTACAACAAACCGTACATTTGACAGTCATAACTAGTTGACATATTCATGAAAAGTATTTCCCCATCGCGGGGATATTGATGTCTTCCTGTTACTCCACACACACTACCCCGTCTAATACCCCACCACGTAGGTCTAGTGGACGGCAGAATAGACATACTGACAAAACTGTGACAAGAACTTCATACACACAGACAGCTTTATTGATCACGGGACAAATATTGGATTTTGCAGAAGTTTCTTGAACGAGCCATTAATGATCGTTAGCTCTAATGAGCTGACAGTACTTAATGTGTAGGCGGTAATCTAATGAATATTTCGCAGTAATCGAGTGAAGGAGTGAGTGAGTTAAAACTTAACGTCACAACGGCAATATTTCAGCCATATAGTGACGAGAAATGTTGTACGTACACTATACATACAAGTAGTTAAATAACCAGTCATCGACGGACTGTAAAATAATTAGAGTATCACAAAAAGAGTTAAATCTAGTTAGTATTATTTTTAAAAGTAGAAAACTATTTTGGACAATCCAATGTAAAAATGGGTTATTGATCGCCAACGACTGAAGGTAGATCACCATACTAGGGACCAAGGTGACTTACAATGCCTTTGCTACGTGCATGGATCCTAGCAGGATTTACACCATCCCTTCAGCTGCTGGCGATTGTAGGCAGATTTAGACACGATTAAAATGGCAATAATACTTCCATTAAAAAGGTGGAAGATTAAATTTTTCTTCGAATGTTTTGGGACTTAGGAAGGCGTTTCCTATTCTCGCGGTACTACCGGATATCGGCTGAAAAAATAACACAAACAATTCTTATCGTATTCATGCTTGTTGTTTTAAAATGAAGGGCCTTCTCCTCTAACATCTACATCTATCAGCTGCCAGATCCATCAGGTGAATTACCACTCGTGAGCCCGGTGATAAACAATGCCATCCGCCGTTGACGAAATGAGGCTTCTCCCATTCTCGCGGTATTACCAGGAATTAACGTTTTTTGAGTGTATGTAAGAGCAAACCTGCCGGAAAGGGTGGGAAAAAGTAATGATATGTCCAAGCTGGTATAAACTCCCCAATATTCGTGACACTGAGAGATTTTGATCACTCACAGATTTGGGCCACTTCCTAGTTACCAGTCGGTCATGTAAACAACCGCTAAGTGTCGCGCATCGGCGATTTCGGCAGAAAACGTGTTTACCGCGAGAATAGGGAAACCCGCGCGAATAGGAAACGGACCTATTCAGCAGTAATGGGACACGGAGTGACATCAGAATGTAGGACAAGTCAATGTGCTTTGTAACTGATATACCAAACAACCCTTAGATATGCAGTCAGATCACATCACATTTCATCCAGTATCGTCGCGCGGTTATTTTGTTTCTCCAAGCTCAAACAGTGACGGGAGACACCAGAAATGGGCTTCACACATTGTAACCATGTAGGAATCGAACCTGGGTCTTTGGAGTGACGAGCGGGCGCTTTAACCACTTGGCTACCCGACGACCCTAAACTGAAAAAGAACCTACATGCTACAGAGTTTTGACTATTTACTTTTTTGATTACTTTTTTGGCGGTTATATTATGTTTCTTGTCTCCAACCTCACACAGCGAGAGTGAGTGAGTTTAGTTTTGCGCCGCCTGGAGCAATATCTAGCAATATCACGGCGGGGACACCAGCCATTGGCTCCAGATAGTGTATCCATTTTTCACGAAACCTACCCATGCCTAAGACTGCGGGATTTTGTCCCACAACAAGCAGACCGCCGTGACATACACGGAACACTGGTCAAATCTGAGGTAAAGCTCACTCACTCACCCAACCATTCACTCACTACCTCTTGACTATCATACTATCCCAACGTCAGTCTGCTTCAACGTCAATCTGCTTCATTGTGTTTTGGGTTCGAAACCCACACAAAGTCTTTCTCCCGGTTCCCCGTTAATCCCAACCCACATGTTTCTAGGTTTATCTGCACCATATCTTTCAGGGTAGCTAGAGTTGGCTTCAAATAACGTGGTACAATTCTTCGGTATTTCCTGCCACAATACACTGACAAGCTGTGATATAACGTAAAACGACGTTAATCCCAACCCACACAATGTCTTTCCGTTCAATGTCTTTAATCATGCTTTCATGCTAGCGGTAGGGGTAGCCTAGAGGTTGATGTAACGTGCTATGCAGGAGGGTAGCCTAATATAACGTCGTTACCCAAACCCAATCCCAACCCACAATGTCTTTCATGCTATAGGGAAAGTAGCCTAGTCATGCTCGAGCGGGAGGGTAGCCTAGAGGTTGATATAACGTGGAAACGACGTTAATCCCAACCCACACACAAAGTCTTTCATGCTATGCGGGAGGGTAGCCTAGAGGTTGATATAACGTGTAAACGACGTTAAACGACGTTAATCCCAACCCACACAGTCTTTCATGCTATGCGGGAGGGTAGTCTAGAGGTTGATATAACGTGGAAACGACGTTAATCCCAACCCAACACAATGTCTTTGATATAACGTGGAAAGCCTACAGCGTGTAATGCTATGCCTATGCAGGAGGGTAGCCTAGAGGTTGATATAACGTGTATGCAAGAGGGTAGCCTAGAGGTTGAATAACGTGTGTAAACGACGTTAATCAGTTTCGATGTCCCACATAACGTGGAAAACGATTAATCGTTACAATGTGCTACACCTAGAGGTTGATATAACGTGGATTTCTGAGTCCCCCCACACAATGTCGTCGTGATGCGGGAGGGTAGCCTAGAGGTTGATATAACGTGGAAACGATTGCTAATAGGGTAGCCTTAGGCGTTAAAACTAAACTGATATAACAGCTTGCGGGAGGGTAGCCTAAGGTTGATATAACGTGGAAACGAATCTCACTCTTTCATGCGTGTAAACGACGTTAATCCCAGCCCACACAATGTCTTTCATGCACCTAGAGGTTGAAGACCCAGTTTCGATATCCCACATGGACAATGTCCATTTCTGGAGTCCCCGTCGTGATATTGCTGGAATATTGCTAATAGCGGCTTAAAAACTGTTCAATAATGCTATGTAATGATATGTTTCAGCCAACCATACTACTGACTGGATTCTATGACGCAATCGTGATATATGCTGACGTCATCAACGAGACCTTGGCCCAGGGAGGTGACCCCACTGACGGAATTGACGTCACGCGTCGAATGTGGAACAGAACCTTTAACGGTATGTCCTCTGAAAATGTCAGCTTTCTTTGCCGTGAGAAGTGATCAGTTCGCTGTCATTTTGACGGAGCAATCCCACACAAAACCACAGCGAAATTGTGAAGTAAAGGTATTTTCACAATATTCTTGTCCAATTCCTTAATCCGATTTGTCCCTTTGTTTCTTTAAGTTATTTCTGTTGATTGACTTGCCTTTGTATGTGTTTGGTACCAACCAACCTGAAACCAGTACATCCAGTGGGGCGCTGTCTCATACCAATTCAGGAACTGTTCAGAATACACTGATCTGAGTTTATCGCCGCTTTTTTAGCAATATTCCAAAGGCGGGGAACCATATTGTTTTCTTTGGCGTGACGAGCTAACGCTTTCAGCCCCTTTCTTGAATCATCTTCCGCAGTTCTTTTGTCTGATTGTACCTGTGAATTTAATTGCGAATTTATAATGCGCCTTTCCCATGCTCAAAGCGCTAACACACAACCTGTGAAGCGCTGGAAGGTTAATACATAGTAGTCACATGACTTATCCCACCGGGTACCCATTTTCTGCTGGGTGAACGGGGGCAAGTTTTGAACAACCTGACTGCCTAAGGGGAGACTACATGCATGCAATAAATTCCGATGTCAAACAACGACGTTGTTTAGGAGGGCAACGATCTGAACGTCCCTTTTCGTCCAATGCTCATACAAAGAAAATCGTTTACGTGGTTTCAATCTTGGCCAGGCAGTCCAGATACACAAATAACACAAAGACCTGGGCCTAGATTTTCGAAGCTCTCTTTAACGCTAAGATAGTCGTAAGTTAATGTTAATGTATGGCACTTACGCCTATCTTAGCGCTAAGAGAGCTTCGAAAATCTAGGACCTGCGTAATCACACAATGTATTTAAGATCAATAAAGGAAAGTAATTATCACGTCAAAATCTGGATGATGATCCACGAATAGGATGCTTATCATGTATCAACACTCGTATCGAATACACATTTAGCTCCTCAGTGAATGTTGATAATGAGTTTACACATCCTTTGTCCGTTTACATTCCAGGAATTGGCGGTCGGGTTTCCATCAACGACAACGGCGACAAATACACCGACTTCATCTTGTTCGATATGCAGGATACAGCTAATGGGATGTTTGAGGTGCGTTGATTACTGTTTTCATCAATGCGTTGTTTTCGACGTTGACGGTTTAATCACACGGACGTGTCTGTCGTGTGGATAGGTCAGATTACCTGCGGGCATGGAATTGATAATATATAACATCAGAATAATTTGTCTAGAATATCTGTCGACACAGATACCACGGGGCGATAAGTTCCAGCATTGTGATAAATTGCAGTCACCTTCTGGCAAACAAGGATGAGTTGAGCACCGAACTGACAATTGACCCGTATTAGCATGTATGAGTGTCGCCCACTGGCGCTTGCCATTGTTAGCGAAGGGCCCCAGGTTGTCCGCGATCAAGTGTAGTGCGACTTGCTACCCCGACGTGAGAGTCTTATGAGCAAGGCGCGTGCAGCTACCCGCGGAATCAATTTCATCGCCATGCAATGCACGTGCACTAGCCTACATCTGCTCTACCTTTTACGAACGAAATGGGTTTGCTCATTGCCGTGCACCGCCTTCTCGTAAACGCGTTATCCTTGTTTGCGGGCGGTGAGCTAGCCTAATGGTTAAAGCGTTGGCTCGTCACGCCGAAGACGGGTTCGAATCCCCACATTGGGCACATGTTTGTGAAGCCCATTTCTGGTGTCCCCGCCGTGATGTTGCTGAATATTGCGAAAAGCGGCGTAAAACCAAACTCAGTCAGTCGAACGAAATTATAGGACCACGAACTCATGTTCGTTATAGCCGTAGTTCGTTATAGACAGTTTGACAAAATATAAACATCAAGTAGCCGAACCAAACAAGACTGTTCGATATATCCACCAGTTCGTTGAACACACACTTTTGAGAAGTTGCATTGAACTACGGTTAAAACGAACTTAAAGGACCACGGTATCCTTTTCGATAGAGCCGTAGTTCGTTATACAGAATTTGGACAATAATATACAAGTTGCCGCTACGAAACAACTGTTATATCCGTCAGTCGTTATAAGTGAGTGAGTATGATCGATCATGGAACTCGTCTCTTCTTGTCATATGCTTGAGGAAGAAATGCACTGACAGTGATCCCTTTGTTATGGATGAGTGAGTGAGTGAGTGAGATTTAGTTTTACGCCGTTTGAGCAGTAGAACAACAATATCACGATCGAGTAAAACCACAAATTAATTCACACATTGACAGGGTATGAAACTACAAAAAAATTAGCTGGACCACAAGGGTGGTTAGACTGACTGAGTTTGGCTTTACGCCGCTTTTAGCAATATTCCAGCAACATCACGGCGGGGACTCCAGAAATGGGCTTCACACGTTGTACCCATGTCTTCGGCGTGACGAGCCAACGCTTTAACCACTAGACTACCCCACCGCCCAGGGGGTGGTTAGATGTAAAACTTGCCAGCCCTGACCAAAACTTGCCTGCCCACAAAATATCTTCACATACAACATGTCTAGATTTTAATCCGACCGTCGGGCAGGTGAATTTGAGAATCTGGCAGTCCGTGTTGAAAAAAATCCGTCCCGGGCGGTCGAATTTCGAACGCTGAATGACAATGTATCCACGAGGGGAATCGAACCCGGGCGTTTGGCGTGACGAGCGAACGCTTTAACCACTAAGCTACCTCACTCCTCCCGCCCTTTCCCTTTCCCGCCTTATAAGTTGAGGTGAAATGGGTTTTACGTCGTGCTTGAGAATATTTCGCTCATATGACGACATGTATGCGTGTGTATGTGTATGTGCGGCTGCTTGTACTACCCAGACTGAAGCTGGTTTTATAGTGCTAGCCCACTGAGATACCATGCCGCAGTGAAGCATGAATACCCCACTCAGACACATTATACTGACTCCGAGCCGACCAGTCCTTGTTGTACCCATTAATGCCGAGCGCCAGGCAGGGACCAACAAGTACCATATTTTAACGTCTTTTGGTATGACGCGGTCGGGGATCGAACCCGCGACCTTCCGCTCTCCGGGCGGACGCTCTAACCACTACACCACGGAGGCGGTCTCCCGCCTTATAAGTTGAGCATGATGCACACTATGTAGTATCACCCTGACCATGACATTCAGATGAACATATTTAAGTTGGTATGTCCAGGTTGTGGGCGAGTACGATGGCCGAACCAAGACGTTCAGCTTCAGACCTGGGATGTCGATCAAGTGGGTGGGCTCCGGTCCGCCACCGGATGTACCTGAATGTGGCTTCCGGGAAGATAGGTGCGCAGTAACAGGTCAGTATCGACATGAACGCGCAGGTCAACCAGCAGACGCCATTCTTCTTCCCATAAAAGTCGTGGTAAGAATCTTCAGTAACCCATGCATGTCGTAAGAGGCGACTAACGGGATCGGGTGGTCAGGCTCGCTGACTTGGTTGACACATGTCATCGGGTCGCCGTTGTGTAGATCGATGCTCATGATGTTGATCACTGGATTACAGACCGCCGCCATAAAGTGGAATATTGCAGAGTGCAGCGTTAAAAAACAAATAAACAAAACAAACAAAAGCAGTCGTAATAACATTTAATATCACCAGTAATTTTCACATGGTCTTTTTATGAATCCTCCAAGATGTTGGTGAGAAAACATCGTGTTGTGTTCATTTAAGCAAACACGTTAAAATGTTAATTTATTCTTATTAATTAACTTTGATATTGGTTGATGAAAGGCAAAACATCGAAATATGTGTTATTCATTTAACATCGGCACCAACACGTTACCAGGAACATTCATTGTTAATTTATTCATTATTCATTCATGTAATGTTGTAACTGTTCTGAACATTTTTTTAAAAACGCTTCACCCTGTCAGTGGGTCTGGGAGTAGGGTTCGCCTGCATCGCTGTTGTCGCTACCGGCATTCTCTTCCTTATATACAGGTACCGTGTTGGGAGTGAACTTTCATTGTTTGTTCGTTCGTTTGTTAGTCTGTTGTGCACTTGTTCGTTTGCCTCCACACTGAGCCACAACTAGGCTACATCACGGCTGTGTGTAAAGGCGCGAGTCTTTAGTAAGCAAACACGTGGTTGATATCACGAGCACGTCCAGATGACAGGATACGGTGACACACAATAAACTGAGTCGGATCGATTTAGTCGCCTTGTACTGCAAGTCTAGATGTCCTGGGATAAATATGTGAGGTGAGGTGGAAGGGGGTTTAACGTCGTACTTATGAATATTTGGCTCATATGACGACGTGCATGCGTGCGTGTGTATGTGTGGCTGCTTGTACTAGCCCAGACTTAAGCTGGTTTATAGTGCTAGCCCACTGAGATACCATGCCGCAGTTAAGCAAGAATACCCCACTCAGACACATTATACTGACTCCGAGCCAACCAGTCCTTGTTGTACCCAAAGGAAAAACAAGCACCGTATTTTAACGTTTTTTGGCGGACGCTCTATCCACTACACCATGGAGGCGGTCCCTGGATTAAATAACCCGGGTTTCCGGGTTGTATGAGAGAGGGGTTGAACTACCCTTATACTTCTGGAGTACTGACTAAATTGGAAATGAATCAGATAGAAATATTATCGTTATGAATTGTTTTGAATAATAACGAAAAATAATTGTGTTACAGGAAACTTCAGTCACAACACGACCTCTGGTGGTGGAAAATTGAATTGGATGAACTTCAAATGAATGACCGAAAACTTGGCAGCTCGATTTTCAGTTTCTTATCTCAGGTATTTGTGTGGCTTAAGCTTCTTTGAAAACATTATTCGTGTAAACTTGATTCGGAGTGAGTAAGTGAGTGAGTGAGTGGGAGGGTGAGTGAGTGAGTGAGTGAGTGGGAGGGTGAGTGAATGAGTGGGAGGGTGAGTAAGTGAGTGAGTGGGAGGGCGAGTGAGTGAGTGGGAGGGTGAGTGAGTGAGTGAATGAGTGGGAGGGTGATTGAGTGAGTGAGTGGGAGGGTGAGTGGGTAGAGGAGTGGGAGGGTGAGTGAGTGAATGAGTGAGTGGGAGGGTGAGTGAATGAGTGGGAGGGTGAGTATGTGAGTGAGTGGGAGGGTGAGTGAGTGAGTGGGAGGGTGAGTGAGTGAGTGAATGAGTGGGAGGGTGATTGAGTGAGTGAGTGGGAGGGTGGGAGTGAGTGAGTGAGTGAGTGGGAGGGTGAGTGTGAGTGAGTGAGTGAGTTAGTGAGTGGGAGGGTGAGTGAGTGAGTGAGTGAGTGAATGGGAGGGTGAGTTAGTGAGTGAGTGAGTCGGAGGGTGAGTGAGTGAGTGAATGAGTGGGAGGGTGATTGAGTGAGTGAGTGGGAGGTGAGTGAGAGAGTGGGAGGTGAGTGAGTGGGAGGGTGAGTGAGTGAGTGAGTGAGTGAGTGAGTGAGTGGGAGGGTGAGTGAGTGAGTGAGTGGGAGGGTGAGTGAGTGGGAGGGAGAGTAAGTGAGTGAGTGGAAGGGCGAGTGAGTGGGAGGTTGTGTGGGTGAGTGAGTGAGTGAGTGAGTGAGTGAGTGAGTGAGTGAGTGACTTGGCTTTAGTACCGCTCTTTACAGCATTCACTTACACCATGGCAGCACAGCTGAATGTGGGAGGGAAGCCCGCAGTTAGGCCTGTCTCTGACGTTTACCAGTTTGGTGAAACCCGTTTGGTGAAACCCGTTTGGTTAAACCCGTTTGGTGAAAACCTTGAAACATATCCAGAGCGATTTACATGTCAGGTTCCGTTAAAGCCAAATGAAGAGAAAATCGAGTGAGTGTGTGAGTAATTGAATGAGGTATACCCCGCTTTTAGCAACATTCCAGCAGTATGACGGCGAGGGACACCAGAGTGAGTGAGTGAGTTTAGTTTTACGCCGCAGTCAGCAATATTCCAGCTATATGGCGGCGGTCTGTAAATAATCGAGCCTGGACCAGACAATCTAGTGATCAACAACATGAGTATCGATCTGCGCAATTGGGAACCGATGACATGTGACAAGTCAGCGATCCTGATCACCCGATCCCGTTAGTCGCTTCTTACGCGTACGACAAGCATGGGTTACTGAAGATTAATATTCTAACCCAGATCTTCAAGGGTGAGGGACACCAGAAATGGGCTATACACATTGTACCCATGTGCGGAATTGAACCCGGGTTTTCAGCGTGACGAGCGGACGCCTTCACATCTGGCTACCCCATCCACTACCTGTGAAAGAAAACATTCTCCTTCTAAAAACAAATTTAAGATCACAACATAGTATTAAATGTTTGTCACGCTGGAGACCCAGGTTCGATTCTTAACATGCAATCAGTGATCCCGCACCGTGATATTGCCGGAATATCGCTAAACCTTACTCATCAAATGGTAGTCCCTGTTGTAGCGGTTGGGTAGCCTAGTGGTTAAAGCGTCCGACCTTCACGTGGGAGACCCGGGTTTGATTCCCAACATGGGTACAATGTGTGACGCCCATTTCTGGTGTCCCCCGCCATGATACTGCTGGAATTTTGCTAAAAGCTGCGTAAAATTAAACTCAGTCAGTCAGTTCCTGTTTTGGTGTTAAAGGTCGTAAGTGCATATTTTTTCAAAACACATGTCACTGTTTTCTGTACACTGGACAACAAAGTTGACAATATTTGTAATATTTCTTGATGTTTACGCAGATGAGCGTCAGGGAGAGAACAGACACGTCAACACATGACGAAATCAATAAGGACGTCGCTGTTTATAAGGTAATGTCGATATGTAAACACCAAGGTAACACACAACGTTGTGGGAAGGTTGTAGATTGGTAACGTCATGACACAACGTTGTGTCAAGGTTGTAGATTGGTAACGTCATGACACAACGTGGTGTCAAGGTTGTAGATATGTGACGTCATGACACAACGTTGTGGGAAGGTTGTATATTGGTAACGTCATGACACAACGTTGTGGGAAGGTTGTAGATTGGTAACGTCATGACACAAAGTTGTGGGAAGGTTGTAGATTGGTAAAGTCATGACACAACGTTGTTGGAAGGTTGTAGATTGGTGACGTCATGACACAACGTTGTGGGAAGGTTGTATATTGGTGACGTCATGACACAACGTTGTGGGAAGCTTGTAGATTGGTAACGTCATGACACAAAGTTGTGGGAAGGTTGTAGATTGGTAACGTCATGACACAACGTTGTGGGAATGTTGTATATTGGTTACGTCATGACACAAAGTTGTGGGAAGGTTGTATATTGGTAACGTCATGACACAACGTTGTGGGAAGGTTGTAGATGCTTAACGTCATGACACAAAGTTGTGGGAAGGTTTTAGATTGGTAACGTCATGACACAACGTTGTGGGAAGGTTGTAGATGCTTAACGTCATGCTAAAACGTTGTGGGAAGGTTGTAGATTGGTAACGCCATGACACAATGATGGGGGCAGGTTGTAGATTGGTAACCTCATGGCACAGGGTTATGAGAAGGTTTTAGATTGGTAACGTCATGGAACAAGGTTGTGGGAAGGTTGTAGATTGGTATCGGGAAGGTTGTAGGATTGTAGGTATCGTCATCAGACAACAACGTTGTGGTAAGGTTTTAACGATTGGTATCGTCATGGAACAAGGTTGTGGGAAGGTTGTAGATTGGTAACGTCATCAGACAACGTTGTGGGAAGGTTGTAGATTTGTAGCGTCATGACACAACGCTGTGAGAAGTTTGTAGATTGGTAACGTCATGATACAACGTTGTCACAACGTAAGTATCACGTCATTTTATAGCGTTACGTCACAACGCAATAACAAAGTTGCAAATGTACGTTGAGGAAGCGTTAAGCTTTGGGCTCCTCAGAACGCTATAACAACGTTTCTTATAATTGGTGTCCCGAGTTCTGCAAAACCTTTTACTCTTCAGGATTCTTTCTTCACTATTCAGCTACAGCTTCAGAGAACACACGACGGAAGCAACATGCAAATTGACAAATAAACATTGAAGTGAATGTCTGCTTTGTTTCTTACGTACTGTTCACTACTGGGAAAACTATTCAACTATTAACGTTAAACAGAACGTTAGACAACGAAAACGACGTTAGTATCTAATAACTTAGCCTTGTGGCGACGTACAAATGATGTATCGCAACGTCATGCCACAACGTTGTGACAACATAAATGGGAGTCCACAGAAGAAAGTTGTAACAACGAAAGCATAATGTTGTGACAACGTTGTGACAACGTGAAAGTGCTAGTTGGTCAGAACAAGGAACTTGAGAATATAGGAGCAACAACATTTCCACGAGAAGATGTCTCTGAGGCAGACATTTTAAGACCAGGATTGTATCTGCTCGGCTGTATAGTTTTCAACATTGATGCTACATCCATTAACTGATTTGCAGGGAATTCCCGTACGGCTGAAACGCCTACACATCAAAGACATCCTGCAGAATAACAAGGAACTGCTCCAAGAGTTCAAAATGGTAAGTGGAAGTTGTCACGTGACTTTATAAATAACACCGAAAAGGTCATACGCGCAATCCCTCGACATTGCAGCTAATTATAAGCATTGGGCGAAGCGTTCTTTGACAGTCGACTAGGGAGTTAGTGAGTGAGTGAGTTTAGTTTTACGCCGCACTCAGCAACATTCAAGCAATATGGCGTCGGTCTGTAAATAATCGAGTCTGGACCAGACAATCCAGTGATCAACAGCATGAGCATCGATCTTCGCAATTGAGAACCGATGACATGTGTCAACCAAATCGAGGAGGCTGGTGGGTGAGGGTGGAGGTTGATGGTGGAGTCTGATGGAGGTTGATTGTGAGAGGTGGGTGGTGGGTGAGGGTGGAGGTTGATGATGGAGCGTGATGGAGGTTGATTCTGAGAGGTGGGTGAGGGTTGGAGGTTGATGATGGAGTGTGATGGAGGTTGATTGTGAGAGGTGGGTGGTGGGTGAGGGTGGAGGTTGATGATGGAGCGTGATGGAGGTTGATTGTGAGAGGTGGTTGAGGGTGGAGCTTGATGATGGAGCGTGATGGAGGTTGATTGTGAGAGGTGGGTGAGGTTGGAGGTTGATGATGGAGTGTAATGGAGGTTGATTGTGAGAGGTGGGTGAGGTTGGAGGTTGATGGTGGAGCGTGATGGAGGTTGATTGTGTGAGCAGAGTGGTGGGTAAGGGTGGAGGTTGATGATGGAGAGTAATGGTGGTTGATTGTGAGAGGTGTGTGGTGGGTGAGGTTGGAGCTTGATGATAGAGCGTGATGGAGGTGATTGTGAGAGGTGGATGATGGGTGAAGTTGGAGGTTGATGATGGAGTGTGTTGGAGGTTGATTGTGAGAGGTGGGTGGTGGGTGAGGGGGGAGGTTGATGATGGAGAGTGATGGAGGTTGATTGTGAGAGGTGGGTGGTGGGTGAGGGTGGAGGTTGATGATGGAGTGTGATGGATGTTGATTGTGAGAGGTGGGTGGTGGGTGAGGGTGGAGGTTGATGATGGAGTGTGATGGAGGTTGATTGTGAGAGGTGGTGGTGTGGTGGGTGAGGGTGAGGTGATGGAGGTTGATTGTGAGATGGAGGTGATGGAGGTTGATTGGAGTGTGAGAGGTGGGTGAGAGGTGGGTGAGGTTGGAGGTTGATGATGGAGCGTGATGGAGGTTGATTGTGAGAGGTGGGTGAGGGTGGAGGTTGATGATGGAGCGTGATGGAGGCTGATTGTGTGAGGCAGAGTGTGGTGGGTGAGGGGTGGAGGCTGATGATGGAGAGTAATGGTGGCTGGTGATTGTGAGAGGTGTGTGGTGGGTGAGGTTGGAGCTTGATGATAGAGCGTGATAGAGGTTGATTGTGAGAGGTGGATGATGGGGTGAAGGTTGGAGGTTGATGATGGAGGTGTGTTGGAGGTTGATTGTGAGAGGTGGGTGGTGGGTGAGGGGGAGGAGGTTGATGATGGAGAGTGATGGAGGCTGGATTGTGAGGAGGTGGGTGGTGGGTGAGGGTGGAGGCTGATGATGGAGTGTGATGGATGTTGATTGTGAGAGGTGGGTGAGGTTGGTGGTTGATGATGAGGGATGGAGGTTGATGATGGAGGTGTGATGGAGGTTGATGATGTGAGAGGTGGGTGGTGGGTGGATGGGTGAGGGTGGAGGTTGATGATGGAGTGTGATGGAGGTTGATTGTGAGAGGTGGGTGGTGGGTGAGGTTGGAGGTTGATGATGGAGTGTGATGGAGGTTGATTGTGAGAGGTGGGTGAAGTTGGAGGTTGATGATGGACTGTGATGGAGGTTGATTGTGAGAGGTGGTGAGGGTGGAGGTTGATGGTATAGTGTGATGGAGGTTGATTGTGAGAGGTGGGTGGTGGGTGGTGGGTGAGGCTGGAGGTTGATGATGGAGTGTGATGGAGGTTGATTGTGAGAGGTGGGTGGTGGGTGAGGGTGGAGGTTGATGATGGAGTGTGATGGAGGTTGATTGTGAGAGGTGGGTGAGGGTGGAGCTTGATGATGGGGTGTGATGGAGGTTGATTGTGAGAGGTGGGTGGTGGGTGAGGGTGGATGTTGATGATGGAGTGTGATGGAGGTTGATTGTGAGAGGAGGGTGGTGGGTGAGGTTGGAGGTTGATGATGGAGTGTGATGGAGGTTGATTGTGAGAGGAGGTCTGGTGGGTGAGGGTGGCGGTTGATGATGGAGTGTGATGGAGGTTGATTGTGAGAGGAGGGTGGTGGGTGAGGTTGGAGGTTGATGGTTGATTGTGATGGATGTTGATTGTGAGAGGAGGGTGGTGGGTGAGGTTGGAGGTTGATGGTGGAATGTGATGGAGGTTGATTGTGAGAGGAGGGTGGTGGGTGAGGTTGGAGGTTGATGGTGGAGTGTGATGGAGGTTGATTGCGAAAAGGTGGGTGGGTGTGATGTGGGATGGAGGGAGGGTGGAGGTTGATGGTGGAGCGTGATGGAGGTTGATTGTGAGAGGTGGGTGGTGGGTGAGGTTGGAGGTTGATGATGGATTGTGATGGAGGTTGATTGTGAGAGGTGGGTGGTGGTTGAGGTTGGAGGTTGATGACGGAGTGTGATGGAGGTTGATTGTGAGAGGTGTGTGGTGGGTGAGGTTGGACGTTGATGATGGAGCGTAATTGAGGTTGATTGTGAGAGGTGTATGGTGGATGAGAGTGGAGGTTCTTGGTGGAGAATAAGGGAAATGTGACGGTGATCAACATCAATAATAGAACAACATAAAACATACACATAATAAAACAAAACAAAAGAATATTGCCCATCTATATATATGTTCTGCTTCATGTTGTCAGATTCGGGATATCAACCATGCCAACTTGGCCCGACTGTGTGGGGCGTGTTTGGATGCCCGCAGCAGGGTATTAGTAGGAGAGTACTGTCCGAAGGGAACGCTACAGGTCAGAACCTTTTAATCTATTGAACTGACCGTTATACCGAACTGACAGTTATAACGAACTGACGGTTATATCGAACTGACAGTTATAACGAACTGACGGATATAACGAACTGACAGATATAACGAACTGACGGTTATATCGAACTGACGGTTATATCGAACTGACAGTTATAACGAACTGACAGTTATAACGAACTGACGGTTATATCGAACCGACGGCTATATCGAACTTACAGTTATATCGAACTGACAGTTATAACGAACTGACAGTTATAACGAACTGACGGTTATATCGAACTGACGGTTATATCGAACTTACAGTTATAACGAATTGTCCTGACCACTGGATCTTTTAGTCAAATGTGTTTGACGACCTACAACGATCTAAGGTTAGTCGTCTCTGTGAGTCTAATCACTAGTTACTGTCTTATAATTGTTAGAACGTTTTGCTGATCAACGATAATGTTTTAGTACATTTTGTCAGCCCACTCCCTGTTCAGTGCCAGGAAAGTTATATGAACGAAACGTTGAAAAAGATAATCCCGCTTCTTGCTACAACTTAGGACCCGGGTGAGATTCAATGCTTGTCGAGTCTTTCAAGCACATTATTCTGAAACGTTTCAAGGCACACGTAGTAGGATCAGCCAATTGACCTGGTGCAGAATTTATTGACTATCTGCTGAAGGTCAAATCTATACATACTTCACCTGTGACGATGTGGGTTAGAATTAATCTTCTGTAACCCATTCTTGTCGTAAGAGGGTAGTCAGGCTCGCTGGTTTGGCCGACACATGTCGTATTCCAGCGGCTTCGATCGATGCTCATACTGTTGATCACTGGATTGTCTGGTTCAGACTCGATTATTTAGAAACGCAAAATAGCTGGGATATTGCTGAGTGTGGCGTTAATCAATCCATCGATCGATTAATCAATCAATCAATCAATCAATCAACCAATCGATCGATCTATCGATAAATCAATCTGTGAGTATGATTTTTTTAAACTAACATCTGCTCCCCCGAGACCGATCTCCCAACTTCATGTCTCCACAGGATCTGTTGGGCAACCCCCAGATTAAACTGGACGCGCAGTTTAAGTTTTCTCTTGCAATCGACATCGTGCAGGTGAGTGAACGACGAAATTAATTTTAGATATAAATCTGTTCACTGATTCTGTTTAGCTGAATTAAACTGATTGCCAGCTTTCTATTTCGTGTGTCTGTTGTTTGTTATTTTGTCTCAGTTTTTGTCCTGCCAGTGACATTTCCATACAGTTATTAGCTGTTCATATTAATCAGGTGTTGAGTCGCCTCCCCTAACCACACCAGGATCTGCTTATAGGATTTTTCGAGTAAACAATTCTTAAGCATAATGGATACATGTTATGATTATAACTAACTATTACTAGAAGTTTGTAAAATTATCAAAGTTTCTAAAAGTTATCGGGTCTCTGAAACAATATGTAATGACGTTTTGACATAAGTTGTAATTTTACGTCAGGTTTTAGGAAACGCACTTGGAATTGTCCGTAAGCCATTTAAACTTTGTCGAATTTTGGAGACTTTGCCATATAGCTGGGACAGTGGATAAGTTGGGAATTAACGAGGGCGAAAACCCTAAATATGACAAAAGGATTCGAACCCACGATTAGAGCATCTTGCAGAATTACAAGTGACTGCATTCCCCTTTGTACCCCATAATGTACACAGTTTTCGTGTTCTACAGGGGATGTGCTTCCTCCACGACAGCCATCTACGTCGTCACGGTCGTCTGAAGAGCAGCTGTTGTCTGATTGACAATCGTTTCACTGTCAAACTGGCTGACTTTGGGCTGCAGACGTTGTACAGCAACATCACCGTTGACAAATCATCCCAGGAATATCTTAACGGTGCGTCCAGTGAATGAGCGGACGTACACTTTTGTTCGAAAAAAGGTCTGATTTGTCGGGTCCAAATTAGAAAGGTAGCACGAAAGAACATGTCAACACTGAGAACTTGTTTGAGAACTAAAGTAACCCAAACCTGTACCGTGACATCTTCGTCGCTCCAGGGTCTATTGTTCACATGTAAATACTCTTCGTCCAGTTTCCGTTACCATGGAGGAAGGGACGTCACATTCACAATTTCTCCTACCGATACGTTGTACAATATTTCTCTGTGTGCTTATAACCGGTGTCTGTTTTGAAAATATACCGCAATCGAATATAAGGCAGCAAATAGTCAACTGCATCTTTCTTTGTGGAAGATATAAGAGTCTACTTGGGGGAGTAGTTGGGTTTGTGAGTGAGTGAGTGACTGGGTAACTTACTGACTGGCAGACGGACAATGGCATTTTTCTTTATGGAAGACAGGAGTGAGTGAGTGAGTGGGTGGGTGAGTGTGTGGGTGAGTGAGTGTTTGGATGGGTGAGTGAGCGAGTGAGTGTTTGGATGGGTGAGTGAGCGAGTGAGTGTTTGGATGGATGAGTGTGTGAGTGAGTGTTTGGATGGGTGAGTGAGCGAGTGTGTGTTTAGATGAGTGAGTGAATGTTTGGATGGGTGAGTGAGTGAGTGTTTGGATGGGAGGTTTAAGTCGGGTATGTGTGGGTGGGTGAGTGAGTGAGTGAGTGAATCACCGATTCAGGCAATGAAATATTCGGGCATGGAAATAATCTGGATTGCTCTAAAAATAACACAAATTGTTATTCAGTACTGCTGTATTTCACACTGGTATCACAGTCGATGTAAGATTCATCATATCAATGAATGTCTCACAAAGATAGGGATAGGTGCCTGACGTCTTATGGATGATTTATCGATTTCACAGACTAATGTACTGAGAAACATTACCTTCGTTTTCCTGCCATTTGCATTGCCTTCAAGAAATACACGAGAATGTTGTTTATACATAATGGAGGATTTCATACCACTGACAGTCATATGTTTCATGACTAATGTCGATTGTAATCAAGACAGGTTATGTATCTACGTTGAAGAAGTAATGGTTTAATGAGAGTTTCTTGTAATCAACAGAATGTTTATGGGCAGCACCGGAAGTACTACGGGGGTGACTTTGCTAAAGGAACCAAAGAAGCGGATATGTACAGTTTCGGCATCGTTCTGCAGGAGATAATCACGCGAGAATCTCCTTTCTATAACGAGATATTGGATGTAACTGTGTCAGGTTGTATATCAGTAATCACCTTAATTCATTGTGTACGATCAGTCTGTTGATGTGTGCATACGTACGTACGGCAAATTCTAATGATGTTTGCTTTTCTTTTTTCTTTTTATCCAGAAACAAACATGCCGCACCCACACAAACCCACGAACATGCACAGACACATACGCTCCAACGACCCCAATCAAATATCAATTGGATACAGAATCGACTCGTGACGATCCGGGTTAGAATTGGTCTTCAGTACCCCATGCTTGTTGTAGGAGGCGACTAACGGGATCAGGTGGTCAGGCTCGCTGACTTGGTTGACACATGTCATCGGTTCCCAATTGCGTAGATCGATGGTCATGCTTTTGATTACTGGATTGTCTGGTTCAGACTCGATTATTTACAGACCGCAGTTACATAGCTGAAATATTGTTGAGTGGGGCGTTAAATGACAAACAATCCAAGTAAAAGAAACAAACAAACGTAAACAAATCATCTAAAATTAATTTCTACTTGTCTCTATCCTAAGTCTAATTCCGCAGTGTCATTTCTTCATTCCAGATATACTTGCCAAGGTCATCAAGGGAGGTAACCCTCCTATGCGACCCAGCTGTGAAGTACCAAACAGCTTGACGGAGCTGCATGAGCTGATGCAGAGCTGCTGGGCAGAGGATCCAGAGGGCAGACCGAGCTTCCAATCCATACGAAAAGACCTCAAGAAAATACTCGCGTGAGTCAAACCCATTCCGTTATGAGATTCCTGTGTGATCATTATACCTCTGTCGTCGTTCTAACCCTGTTACTATGCTTCCAATGTAGACATGTTTGCCCTGTAAGTGGTGTACCCCAGTGACCATTCTTCCGTGGTGAACGTTCGTTCCCTGTGGCTTCCGCTGTGACCATTCTTCCCCAATGATTATTCTTCCCCAGTGACCATACTTCTGCTGTGACTGCTCTTCCCATGTGACAATTATTTCTTGGTGACCGCCCTACCAATGTAACCATTTTTCCCTTGTGAACTTTCTTCCCGTGATCGTTCTTCCCCCGTGACCATTCTTCCAATGTGACTGCTCTTCCCATGTGACAATTATTTCTTGGTGACCGCTCTACCAATGTGACCATTCTTCCCTTGTGAACTTTCTTCCCGTGATCGTTCTTCCCCCGTGACCATTCTTCCAATGTGACTGCTCTTCCAATGTGACAATTATTTCTTGGTGACCGCCCTACCAATGTGACCATTCTTCTAATGTGACTGCTCTTCCCATGTGACAATTATTCCTTGATGACCGCCCTACCAGTGTGACCATTCTTCCCTTGTGAACTTTCTTCCCGTGATCGTTCTTTCCCCGTGACCATTCTTCCAATGTGACTGCTCTTCCCATGTGACAATTATTCCTTGATGACCGCCCTACCAGTGACCATTTTTCCCTTGTGAACTTTCTTCCCGTGATCGTTCTTCCCCCGTGACCATTCTTCCAATGTGACTGCTCTTCCCATGTGACAATTATTTCTTGGTGACCGCCCTACCAGTGTGACCATTCTTGCAATGTGACTGCTCTTCCCATGTGACAATTATTCCTTGATGACCGCCCTACCAGTGTGACCATTTTTCCCTTGTGAACTTTCTTCCCGTGATCGTTCTTCCCCCGTGACCATTCTTCCAATGTGACTGCTCTTCCCATGTGACAATTATTTCTTGGTGACCGCCCTACCAGTGTGACCATTCTTCCAATGTGACTGCTCTTCCCATGTGACAATTATTTCTTGGTGACCGCCCTACCAATGTGACCATTCTTCCCTTGAAAACTTTCTTCCCCAATTGTCATGCTCCCCCAGTGACCATTCTTCCCTTGTGAATGTTCTTCCCGTGACCGTTCTTCCCCATGACCATATTTCACCTGTGACCATTCTTCCCCGGAGACCCTGAATCCCCTATGACCGTTCCTGCTCTACGGCTGTCGATACTGTGTAATACGACACATGAGAGTCGTTGAATTTGAGAAGTTTGTTGGCCCGTATATTGACGATAATTAGTACCGCTCATGACATTAATCATTCTTGTCGCCATCAACTTGGTTCAGTCCTACCCAGACATGCATAGATATGTTTCAATTCTGTAGTCTGACCACAAACCAGTTTGAACCAGTAATATGATAAGTTCAGTCCTACCCAGACATGCATAGATATGTTTCAATTCTGTAGTCTGACCACAAACCAGTTTGAACCAGTAATATAATAAGTCCTGTCCCTCCGAGACATGCATAGATATGTTTCAATTCTGTAGTCTGACCACAAACCAGTTTGAACCAATAATATAATAAGTTCAGTCGAAACTGAGTAGTCCGACATTAGAGCTTCTTTGAATTTGTTCAATTCGTTGACAAATATACGGAAGATAACTGGTAACGCAGCATGATCTTCCTGATTCTGTCTGAGAGACAAGTTTCAACTCTGTCTGACTATAAAGTTGGCTAAACCGGAATTACAATTCCCCAATGGCTATAGACTGTTTGCGGTGAAAACGTACCGATTAATTTCACTTTAAGCAAAAAAGTAATCAAATAAAGTGAAATTTAGATTGCGAATCCTCCTAATTTTACCTTGCCATTTGTAAATTTAAATCTCAGAATTGTATTCAACTTAGGATAAAAGTTGTTTAACAAACGATCATAGTTTCACGTTGGTATTATTGGTTTGTATTACAAGGGGGTATGCACATTAGATGAAACACCGAGAACAAGTAGTGTTTGTCTAAGTTGGTCTACGCTCATCACGTACCGCACGTGCATTTGTTTCGCTGTTCCAACTACTGAGCTTACCCCCTTGTAATACAAACCAATATAAGCGATTTGAAACTATGATCGTTTGTTAAACAACATTTTTCCCAAGTTGAATAAAAATCTATGATTTAAATTTCCAACTGGCAAGATAGAATTATGAGGATTCGCAATCTTAATTTCACTTTAAACGATTTACATTTTTGTTTAAAGTGAAATTCACTTGTACGTTTTCACTGCAAACAGACTATAGTCGAAAATAAATAATAGGACAATGGAGTTTTTTTAATTTTGTAACTGTTGATACTGACGATAACTAGTAACGCAACATGACCTTTTTTTTCTTGTCACCATCTACCTGGAGAGATGAAGATATTTGTTTTAATTCTGTAGAGTTTGACCACAAACATGGCTAAAAGAGTAACAAAGCAACCAAAATAGTACGTCATCTACGTTGTCTTTGTAGGCGTTTTGGTGAGTCCGGGAACTTGCTGGACTCCCTCCTGAGACGCATGGAGCTGTACGCCAACAACCTGGAGAAGCTGGTGGAGGAGAAGACGCATGAGTTGCGGGAAGAGAAGAAGAAGTCGGAGGAGTTGCTGTATCAGATCCTCCCCAGGTAGACAAAAACACGTAAAATCCACCCAGGTAGAGAAAATCAAGCAAGACAAAGACCTATACAGCGCTTCGAAGTATGTTCCCATTTTGCCTGTAAGAGACCAGGGGTCTGATCACTAGTAGTCGGCTGCAGCCCTAACGCCTTGTGGTGTGATCTGTAATGACACGCGTTGTTCCGTGAGCTGTCCTAAAGGTTTCCCCATGTTTAAGCGTCAACCTTGTTAATGTGTCATTCTCCAGATGTTTGGGGTTGAATGAAATGTACACTGCCTCTTTTGTATCTCTTTTGACATTTTCAGATAGGTTAGAGCTGTGTTGGTATTGTATGATGTGGAGTGTTCAGTAAATTGTTTTGGTTGTGTTCTGAAGAATGATCTTGGAGTCATTTGTAACATTCTGCTGCGTTTGGACACACAGTGTTAAAACCTCAAAAAAGACCCGTTTCTTTAGCTATTCAAATTAAGTCCGTTTATAGCATTACATGCTTTTAAAATATGTCTACATTTGAATCTGCTACAGATCTGTAGCTGAGAGGTTAAAGCGAGGCCTGAGAGTTGAGCCCGAGGAGTTCGAATGTGTCACCATCTACTTCAGTGACATCTGCGGTTTCACCAACATCTCCGCCAGGTCAAGCCCCATGCAGGTTAGTTCTTGATTAACGACATCACAGGGACTCCATATTCCTCTCCACTACTACATCCACGTCTGACGACCGCCTCCGTGGTGTAGTGGTTAGAGCGTCCGCCCGGAGAGCGGAAGGTCGCGGGTTCGATCCCCGACCGCGTCATACCAAAAGACGTTAAAACATGGTACTTGTTGGTCCCTGCCTGGCGCTCGGCATTAATGGGTACAATAAGGACTGGTCGGCTCGAAGTCAGTATAATGTGTCTGAGTGGGGTATTCATGCTTCACTGCGGCATGGTATCTCAGTGGGCTAGCACTATAAAACCAGCTTCAGTCTGGGCTAGTACAAGCAGCCGCGCATACACATACACACGCATGCATGTCGTCATATGAGCGAAATATTCTCCAGCACGACGTAAAACCCAATTTCACCTCACCTCACCTCCACGTCTGACAGGATGCCATTGATAATGAACACAGAAATTTAATTCTAAATTTTAAAATCTTTAGAAAGTATCCGGTGTATATTTATCCACATCTGAACTCTTCAAAGGTAGAAAAAAATGTAGAAAATACTCCATAACCCGCAATGATGCTCGTCCAGAGACTGGATAACGCCATCACGTGATGTTCAGAAGAGTAGAACGGTCTTCTTGTAATTACATGTACTACAAAATACTCGCCTACGCGACCACACAGACGCAAGAAAAAAAAATACGCAAAATGAAATTAAACAATCACAATAATTTATTTTTTTACGGTTACATTTTTGTCCTCAGGTGGTGGACCTCCTCAACGACCTCTACTCCTGCTTTGACGCCGTCATCGACGCCTACGACGTCTACAAGGTACCCGTTTGGTACCTTCATTAAGATTATATAAACAATAACCAAACAGTATCATACACGTACTATTTATGCTGTGTATCAAGTGCAACCATGGAGATATAGTGAATGTGATTAGTTTTACGCCGCACTCCGCAATATTCCAGCTATATGGCGGCTGTCTGTAAATAATCGAGTCTCGACCAACCAATCCAGTGATCAACAGTATGAGCATCGATCTACGCAATTGGGATACGATGGCATGTGTCACCTAAGTCAACGAGCTTAAATGCTCGATCCCGTTAATCGCCTCGTACGACAAGCATGGGTTACTGAAGTTCAATTCTAACCGGATCTTCACGGGTCCATGGAGATTAAATAATATACTGCTATATATCATCTACACTGGAGAATAGCCAGTCTGGATTAATTCCTGAAGCAGATTATGTGTATGGATCACTGAAATCCAGTGTTGACATTGGGTGGCTGCGAAATGGGTATGTTCTGCCTCACGACGGCGAATACTTAATGTGAATCAATAACCCGTTGCTTTTTAGCCTACAATGTTGAATTTATGAGTGAGAGAGTTTAGTTTTACGCCGCTTTTAGCAATATTCCGGCGGGGAAAACCAGAAATGGGCTTCACATATTGTACCCGTGTGGGGAATCGAACCCGGGTCTTCGGCGTGACGAGCCAATGCTTTAACCACTAGGCTACCCCACCGCACCTGAAGTTATGAGTAAATATGTACAACTGACGGACATATTAGGATTTCCCAGATTGTGAAAGGTAGAAATCTTTGCTAGAACGGAATGAAAACACCAGCTTGTCGGGTCACTGACAATGGCAGAAAAAAGAAAGGGAAATATGTAGCCCAGTGGTCAACATAGGGATGAAGTTGCCTCGCTTAGCCGTACAAGAATCCGACAACGATAGTTCGATGGTTCCATCCCCAAGTTCGTCCCAATGATGGCCATTGGTCTGAATCAAACGATATCATTTGAGAACAATATTGCTTACACCAATTTCTAATGGTACTGAGTAAAGCAAGCAGGAATAACTGATCGTGTGTGAAACGCTAATGAGATTGATAACGTAATGTCTTCATACCCTCTCCCAGGTGGAAACTATCGGCGACGCGTACATGGTTGTTTCTGGCCTACCACAGAGGAACGGAAACAAACACGCCGAACAGATCGCCCTGATGTCGCTGGCTCTTCTGAGGGCGATAGACACGTTCAGGATGCGCCACCTACCGGGAGAGAAACTCAATCTGAGGATTGGCTTGCATTCAGGTAGGAAGAACCGGCTGTAAAATATGTCCGTTGATGTACTTTAGATGTATTCTATGTTTCAAAATCACATGAATTTATCTCCAGACTGGAAACGTAGAGTGACGTTTGTTCTGATATGCTCTACTATAATGTCAATTTATATATGTTTTACAATTTTTTCACTACCGAAGTCAACAAGGAATTACCCACAACAAAGTTTTGTGTGAAACTGTGCGACAAAATACTAATAGACTGACCTCTGACATAGCGACAGTGTGTTTAAGGGTAGGGCAGTGGGTAATATATACTTTGTCACGTACGCAAAAGATGTTTATCAAATTTCAGTTTTGAGCCCAATTATTGCCCGTTAAACGAAACAAATTACCAAGTCTGTCCGTGATGCTAAGTAATATTCTGCAGGCGATGTGTGATGTTTGATGTTTTCTCCAAAGACTATGTTTGTTGTTTACGTCTCCTGAGAAGCCATATTTTATATGTTTATTTTCTAAACATGGTGGAATATTTCTCTCATGCGGATCCGTGTGATATTTATTTTTACACAGGGTCTGTGTGTGCGGGAGTGGTTGGACAGAAGATGCCGAGATACTGCCTATTTGGAGACACCGTAAACACGGCGTCTAGGATGGAATCTCATGGAGAGGGTGAGGACATTCCCCCTTAGTCAAGGGCGTTACGAGACTATGAACGTTCTGCTCCCATCATTAAAAAATACTTTCTAATGTTGTGGTTTCGTCATAGCGTCACTGGTCGTTTTTATGGATTATATCCTTTATATGTCGTTCCAACTCACCAGAAGGGTTCCGCCTTGCCTTTGTTTCAGACAGTGTCGTCGATAATGAAAATCGTTTTTGTAATCATACAAATCTTACATTGCGAAATGCATCAGGTGATAAGAGTACCTTGAAGACGTTGGTAAGGACGCTTGTAGACAGACAGCATGGCTACTCACCAGCGAAATGGACTCAAAAAACACGTAGCAAAACTCTTCTCCCACAAACTTTCAAAATAATATAAACCTTGAAATTATATTTTTCACGAACATGTTCAGATATTCCATATGTTGTTTTCCGACACTCTACACAATGTCACCACTTTGGGGGTCTCATAGTATTCTTTAGAAACAATTTCGGAACTTTTGGAATTTCAAATTATCGTCTTGTACGATTTACATCTGAGGGTTCATGTCATTTGCTCGGGATTTTATGATGCACACGTAAAATCGTAAGACGCTGTGAGGGTATGTGTTTTCATCACTTGATGTGAAGCAGTTTCATTGCAGCTCTGAAGATCCATATCAGCGACCCCACAAAACTGATTCTGGACAACTTCCTCACATTTAACATTCAAAAGAGGGGCGACATAGAGGTGAAGGTCAGTATATCAAATGTACCATGAATACAGGAAAATACGGCTTTGGATTCGTCAGGGAGGTCACATGTATCAGAACTGCATTAATGGCGTGAATGATCTGGGTTATAAATTGTCTTCAGTACCCCATGCCTGTCGTAAGAGACGACTAACGGGATCGGACGGTCAAGCTCGCTGACTTGGTTGACACATATCATCGTTAAACAAACAAACAAACACTGGCCCGAAGCTCATTCTGCTGATCACTGGATTGTCTGGTCCAGATTCGATAATTTATAGCCCGCCGCCATATAGCTGGAATATTGCTGAGTGCGGCGTACATCTAAACTCACTCACTAACTCAAACACTGGCCTTGTGAGCAGAACGTCTGCAATTTGAAAAATTACCCATAGGACGGCATGTCAAAAGTGTTTTGAAGCAGTAATAGTTCTTGAAATATCCATGTACTTCACAGGTAACATCATCAGTCTCACAATGTCGGTAGAACGACTTGCGACAACAAAAATATGTCATATACATGGACTTACCCAATAAGGGTTGAACATGTTAATCACCGGCGGCGTCCTCCTGTGGCTTGCACGGGTGTTCTGATAAATATTACGAATTGAAACTCACACCGAAAGGAGAAATTTCCTGTTCATTTAGGAGCGTGCGGTAGCCTCGTGGTTAAAGCGCCCGCTCGTTCGGCTGAAGACCCGGGTTCGACTCCCCACATGGGTACAATGTGTGAAGCTTAAGGATCTCGTAACACCATACCCACACACAATTAATATTACAGTAATGCATGCAAAGCCTGTTGATATGGACTCTTGTCCTCTTCTGCAACAGCGGTTTAAGGATTTTACTTTTATTCACAGGGGAAAGGTGTGATGTCTACATATTGGTTGCTGGCGTCCTCCCCCTAGTCTCCTGACACTGGCGGAAGATCTCCCCCAATCGTCTTTTGTGACTAGTGATTATTGTCAATGTCAAACTTTCCTGCCTAACTTATATAAACATTAAGTTTTCAGTCTTACAAAGTATTGAATAAGCACGACATGGCCACTAGCTTTGGGAGGGAGTAATTAAAGGAAGCCATAGAACTTCACCCTGAGGAAATTGGAAACGTGTGAAATCCCTCAATCAGTTAAGATTTCAAGTAACGTGAAAAACGAAGCCTCGTTTGGATACAGAGCTGCAGTTGAAATCACCGCTCGATGACTACCCTCAAGTGCCTCACCGATGTGGTACCAACAGAGACAGATTGTAATAATGTCGTCATATACTTGCATGGTTCTTGAGACCGATTGTGATGATGTCATGTGATGCCACTCCTACCTCAAATGTCATATATATTCAAAGATCGACTTAATCTTTGAAGAAAACTTCAAACGGAGAAACGTTGTAATTAAGTCGTTTCATGCATATATTTGCATAAATCTTTATCAGTCCTGCCTGAGATGTCAAGTTCATTCATTGGTCGATGTAAATTTTGATAAAAGAAATTCCGTGGTTGTGGTAAATATGGCAAATGATTTATTGCCACCCCATTGGAATCGAACTCTCGTCCATAGGGTGAGAAGGTCAAGGTTATGATAAAGAGAAACCGTACTATAGCTTGTGCTGCACTTCACAGAACAAATGTTACTGCATATGTAATCAAACCATTCTGATTGGATATTGCATTGAAAAGGTCAAGGTCAAAATGACTTACGGGTCAAGGTTCAGCTTTTGTTGTGTAAACCATAATATCTTTGTCATCATCTGTGATAAAGAATACTCTCTACAGCCTATACGCCTAAAGCAAAGCTTAATAGGAAACTCTCCATGAGGACAGCGCCATACAATTTATAACAAAAGACACCGGAAACCAAGATATATTCCAGCTTTTATTAGGATGCCTGTTAGTAAAAGAGTTTTAGTGCCCGAAGTCCATCAAGCTGGAATATAAAGGAAAGTAGATAGATTAAACAGACAAAAATAATTTGAAGGATTTCATAAATTAAGCCTAGGCAGTCCGCCTGTCTTAAATCATTCGTCTCTGATTCTGATTATGATATCACAATACATGTATATACACATGGAAAAAGTATCGCAACATCTGATATGTTTCATGGTATTACTATTTTACCATTATCCAAAGCAACGTTGTCCCAAAGCATGTCCCAGTACATCAAGCACTTGTCCAAGGGATCTTTCTGGAGTATTCTGCGGCTCATAATGTCCTGTACCATCTCTATCCCATTGAGAGCTGGACTCCAGTTGGGCCCAGGAAAGCTAGCGGGTAGAGTTGCTACCGACTCTTGACATAAGACAACACCAACGGTACGTGCACGATGTGTCCTAGCATTGTCGTCCATGACAACGTTGTCTACTATGTCAGTGATGTACTGTTTTCTGTTCAGAATTTTTACTGATCGTTATATGATCACGTTTACACCAACAGTATTAGCTACAAGGGATTCCGTTTGCTTTAATCATAAGAAAGAACGTCTGGTTGCCTCAATATCCGACCAGTTTTAGATGTCGGTCGTTCTGTTGGACAAACGACGATAAAGCGGCCACGATGTAGACATGTTGTCATCACGAGACGTGACAATGTAGTTGCAGTTCTGTGATGCTGAGGGGTTGGGGGAGGGAAGGGGCTGTATGCCCCCAAGGAGGCACGTGGTCGACCTCAACGCTGACGGGCCTTAACGTCATTAGTTTACTGATGTCTGGCCAATCAGCTGATAGCCGATGGATGACAAACAACACCTGTCAAAAGCCCTTCATGACATGCCAATAACTTGCCATCAACTGCTTCGAGTAGTCAAGGCCCCATTTGTTCTTATCAACAACGAAATCAATGGATTTTCAAAGTGTAAAAAACAGTTTACTGAAATTGTGGATGACTGACGGTAACACTTGTTGTACGTGATGCTAGCCCTTGAAGGTAGCACGTGCATATCTAAAAGCAATATGCAGTACGCACCAAGGCCCAAATTCATACCAACAAACACATGATATGAATGTGAATGTGAATTGCTGTATGGGGTTTAAAAATCATCGTTGGTGTGATACGTTTCCCATGTGTATAGACGTGGATCAGGGTATTCAAACTAACTGGACCAAGAGTGTCAGAACATATTTATACTAATTTACTAAATCGTTGTGTGTACTGCAATACGACTACAAACAGAAACGAATCTTTCTTTTTTTTAAATCAGTAATACATACAGCGCCAGAAGACATGTACACTCATGAACTGACGCTCTGACTATTTTAGTTTGTTGGTTCCTTGTTTAACGCCACAATCAGTAATGTTCCAACTATAGGCAAATGTTTTTAAGTAATGGAGACTGGGCCAGACAATCCAGTGATCAACATCGCACTGAGCGCACGACGGCATGCATCAACCATTCCTGCGACCCTGACCACCCGATCCCGTTAGTCCCCTCTTACGACAAGCATGGGTTGCTGAAGATCAATTCTAACCCGGATCTTCACGGGTATATGGATATAGAATAAGTGTCTACACATTGAAGTGAATCACGATATTCCAATGAATATGTCTCGAAGATGACGACGATACTCACGTGTGTTTTGCGGAACGACACACATGGTTCCTCCGCAGTTGGTACCGCAGCACAGCATTCCTGTTGGGATACACACAGCACATGGGACGTCATCGGTTATACCACAACGGGAATATAGTTCATTAGTTACATCACTCTTATAAACAGAGATATAGAGATACTAGCCACAAAGTGACAGACATGCTATGGATCATGTCTTGATATATTATAACAAATCGACCATGAGGATTAAAGGTGAGGTGAGGTGAAATGGGGTTTTACGTCGTGCTTGAGAATATTTCGCTCATATGACGACGTGCATGCGTGTGTATGTGCAGTGCGGCTGTTTGTACTAGCCCAGACTTCAGCTGGTTTTATAGTGCTAGCCCACTGAGATACCATGCCGCAGTGAAGCATGAATACCCCACTCAGACACAGTATACTGCCTCCGAGCCAACCAGTCCTTGTACCAATTAATGCCGAGCGCCAGGCAGGGGCCAACAAGTACCATATTTTAACGTCTTTTGGTATGACGCGGACGGGGATCGAACCCGCAACCTTCCGCTCTCCGGGCGGACGTTCTAACCACTACACCACGGAGGCGGTCCATGAGGATTAAAATGAACTAATACGTAATTATCTGGTAACCTCTTTTGGGCCTCAGTTTTATGATGAACTGAAAGAGGCCTGCAATACTGGGCACGGTTTTGAAAATCCAGCGTATGACAGGATCATTGCACATTCTTATCCGTGTGCAACATCTGCTATTGAAAATTGCACCTAAATGCACTTTTGCCCCGTGGTAACCCAGACAGCATGACTCAAACTAGGTCAAAGAAACATGCCATTGCAAACCACTTTGTTTGAGTGATAATAGGGTATACAATCAGTATTGGACTTTTCGATCAGCTACTCGGCAACATGCAGGTGGTCGACAGTGTTCCACCTTACAGCGGAAAGACGGGTTTCTCATGATTGACATCACGTCCATACACACACATCTAAGCATACGACAACAGCAGACCTACCTTGAGGGCACCCCGCATATCCAAGCATACGACAACAGCAGACTTACCTTCTGGGCTCCCCACACATCCAAACTCACGACAACAGCAGACTTACCTTCTGGGCAGCCTGGTCGGTCATCCCGTCCACACATGATAGGGCAGATGCCGGAATAAGGCGAACGAACGCGAGGACAACCTGTTGAAAGGGGAGTGAGAACTATTATATATACCCTGCAGATGAATTCCAAGTTATCATATAAAAAGTTATAATAAAAAGGTAGGCGGGGTAATGATATCCACATGTAGAATAGGCATTCACAGAGACAGGTGGAGACTTTAGAATCATTTCCTACCGAGGATTGCACCAAAATGCACTTTCGTCTCTCTATCAAGCGAGGACTGTTTCAGGGCGATTCCTTGAGTCCTTTTCTTTTCTGTTTGTCACTCAGTCGTAACGAGGAAGGTTGTCGTTGCCAACCAGGACCCCATTCAGAAGAAATCTCCAAAATCTCACCTCAACTCCTTCACATAGTACCTTGAAATTATTGCCAGAGTAGAATCCACCTCGGGAAAGGCGATTCTCCTTGTCGGCTCGCCGCGAATAGCTGCTCACTTGCTGATTCGGCGTTAAACAACATGTACTCTCACACAATCCTTGTTGAGTCTTTCAAGCTCCACAAAACCAACATCATTCATCTGACACGTAGCAAAGCACAAAGAGTATGACCGGCAATTGACCTGGTGCAGAATTGATTGACTATCTGCTTGGTGGTCAAATCTGTAATACTTATGGAGACAGGTTAGAACGTCCTACCATATTCATGCGGTGTTTTTGATTGGGCGAAACAGGAATTTGACACACTCACACAAAAAATTCACGTTAGACAATATTAAAATCTGTTTGAGTTTGATCTTTCCTTTGACTGCCGAGACATTAACTGAGAACTAATTTACTTGGGAAAAAACTAAAACAATAATATATTGCGGAAGGTGTTCTGCACTTGTTGGTTGATGACTTAGAAGGAAGGGGTTCGGCTTCTAACATCAGTTAAGAGGTTGAAGCATATTCTGTCTGTCTCTCACCGTGACAATGCTGAGGGAGTGCTGAGCTGTAACATCTCAATTAAAGTCTCTTTTTTTCAAAAGCTTAAAATATATTTCATACTGATTATTTACATTAGATTAATCTAAATATGTATTAATATTCATACTGAAAATATCCTACTTACCACCCGTTGTTGGCCATTGCGGAAAGTTCACGCTTGCTGTAATTAAAACGAAGTTATTGAAGATCTATAAATGCCAGTGCACCTGAAATCATCACATAATTACAGAGGGGTTTACAAATATACTCACGTTATTGTTTGTGAGCATATCTTAGACGTTTGCAGATGGCAACACCATGCCATGTGTAAGGTTATACTCTATATTTCATTGTGTAACAGGGGCGTTTCTATCTGAGTGAGTGAGTACGATGTTACGCCGCTTCTAGCAATATTCCAGCTATATCCCGGTGGGGGACACCAAAAATGAGCTTCACACATTGTACCCATGAGGTAAACCGTGGGCTTCGGCGTGATAGGTCAACGTTTTAACCACTAGGCTACCCCACAGCCCCTTAAATATACATCCTTATACCATCGCTATTATACATATAGCTATAGACGATGTTATCTGAGACGATATTATCTGTGAACTATGTCAATCTTTACACCAAAAACTATTTGAAACAAATGGCAATAAATTCCATATTGTTCAGTGAAGCCTATTCGGGTGTCCCCTGCTGTGATATTGCTGGAATATGGCTAAAAGCGGCGTAAAACTAGACTCACTCACTCGGTCACTCACTCGAAGTTGGTCCATGCTGATCCTTGTACTGTCGCTATCAAA